TTGGACTAATCTGATATAACATAATATCTTTAATCCATTCCAACCTTATTTTATATAATTTTAACTAATCTAAATAATCTAACCTCAGTCAATCTAATAACTACTCTAATCTAATAATCTGATCTAATCTATAGAAGAGGTCCTAACCAACTGAATATAATATCATTTTATCTGAGCTGATCAACTCATGTCTGAACTCTAATCTGATCTAATCTAATCTAATCCACAGAAACAGCCAAGTTCATAAAGACTGTGTTGCATCAACTGTGTTGCCTTTATTGTTTAAACCATACGTGTCAAACTCAAGGCCCGGGGGCCAAATGCGGGCCGCCAAGCCATTTCGTGTGGCCCGCGGGAGCTTAAAAAGCATTTAGTAAAGTCCATGCAGCAGAGTTTCTTTACCTAAGAAATTACGTTTTTATAATCAATCAAATAATAATAATAATAATAAATTGCAGAAACATGTATTAGTCTGTTATGGAGTAGTTACATCTATACCAGCGGTCCCTAACCTTTTTTGTTCCAAGGATTGGTCAGCCAGTACCACCCATTAGTACAGACCTGGTACTGGTCCACGGACCAGGGGTTGGGGACCCCTAATCTATACAGTCTTCCATTTACAACTGGCCCTTCAAATGGAACTGTATTGCTAATGTGGCCCCCGGTGAAAATGAGTTTGACACCCCTGGTTTAAATGTTCAAACCTAAAGTTCAGTGGACATGTTTATTGACTTGAAGAAAAGGCCTCAGAGTGAGTCCTCTGTTTTGTAGTGTTGAGGATCTGAGTTCAAGTGAACACTCTGGTCTTTGGGCCTACAAAAATGTAGAGTGCTCCTCACTCTATATCATCACCTTTGATGGTTTGTTCCACTCTTTGTATGGTTGAGCACAAAGATGTGACTGACTCACACTGTGGAGATTGTTTAGACACGTTTGCATTGGAAAACATTCATCTGTGAGGATTTCAGTTGGAATATGGATTCTGCTCATAATTGAAATGTTTTGTTTAGTGTTTCTCCAAACAATTTGTGTTTGGTTTTCTGTAACTATTTTCAGTTTTACAAAGAATAGGAAGACTTCAATAAAAGACCAGAAAGGTCAAGTCTGGTGGTTTTTGAAGCACTTCAAGCTGTTAGCTGACTGTCTAGCTGTGAGGACAGTACACCAACTACTGTTCTAATCTGATTTAATCTCCAATGTTCTGATCCAGTCTAATCTGATCTAAACTGAGCTAAATATTATAATCTGCTCTAATTTAATTGTATGAAATCATAGCTGATCTAATAATTAATATCTGTAATAAATGTTTAATAATCCACTAAATTCAAGAAAATCTACTTTTCTCTTTGTCTTTTCTTCTTTATTCAGGTTGGAGAAGTGCAGTTTGTCAGAGATCAGCTGTTCTTCTCTGGTCTCAGCTCTGAAGTCCAACCCCTCCCATCTGAGGAAACTGGACCTGAGCTACAACAACCTTCATGATTCAGGAGTGGAGGTTCTGTGTGGTTTTCTTCAGAGTCCACTCTGTGAACTGGAGTCTCTGTGGTGAGTTCACTGACTGTTACTGTTGTAAATGTCAAAGTGAAGCTGATTCATCTTCACACTCAGATGAACCACTGATTATAAATGAATGAATTCTGGTTCCAAACTCTGATTGTTTCCACTCTGTCTTCTCTCAAATGGATCAAAGTGTTTTTGGATTCACATGAATAAAAATGGACTCTTTTTCTGATTTAATGACAGACTTTCCACCACTGCTCCACTGGTTTGTTGGTTTATAATCTGCTGAGTCAAGTGTGTTTCCAGAAGAATCTAATCTGACTTGAACTGAACTGAATTGATCTCGATCTCCAACTGTCTTAGTTTAAAAATTAAAATAACAATAATAATGAAAGTTATCATGTAATTACGTGAAATTTATCACGACATATATAATAACAATAATGGATTATATGTCATAAAAGAAAGAGCATATGCACAGGAAGCACAACTGCCTGTGGTTAACCTAAGGTTTCTCATGAGCACGAGATACGTTTCTTCTGCCCATGTCCCTTTAGGGGCTCAATAATAAATATCTGTAATAAATGTTTAATAATCCACTAAATTCAAGAAAATCTACTTTTCTCTTTGTCTTTTCTTCTTTATTCAGGTTGGAGAAGTGCAGTTTGTCAGAGATCAGCTGTTCTTCTCTGGTCTCAGCTCTGAAGTCCAACCCCTCCCATCTGAGGAAACTGGACCTGAGTGAAAACAACCTTCCTCATTCATCAGTGAAGGTTCTGTCTGATCTAGTGGAGAGTCCAAACTACAGACTGGAGGATCTGAAGTCAGTATAAAGTGTCATCTTCTCCTCAGTATTGTTCTGACATCACTTTCTTCCTCAAAGTTAAACATTGTGCAGATGTTAACAGATATTTGTGAACATGTTGTGAAAAGGTGCAGATACAAACCAACTGTTTCCAGTCCTGACTGTAAAAGTATGAAGAGTCAAAAGTGAAGTAAAGTGATAACAGTGAGAGGAAATCTTCATCATTCAAGTCCAACTTCAATGCAGATGAAGCTGCTGCTCCTCTGCTCTGGACTGGACCCAGGTCTCTGCTGCTCTTTGACCTGGATGTGACACTGACCTGTCTCCTCTGGTGTCTGTTGTCTTCTCTCCACAGGTGGAGGTCCTGAACCTGATGGAGATCATGTTGTCAATGCAGTGGAGCCAGAAACAAGAAGGAACCTTCAGAGCTTCAGGAATGTTCTCTGTGTGAGCATGTATAACCCACCAAAGACTCAGTCAGTCAAACCATGTGACCTGATAAGAACCAATCACCGTTCTCAGCCTAATATTCAGACATGATTTTTGGAGCCTAGAGAGGAGAGCAGTGAGGCAGGATTTCTGAGAAACAGCCTCCCTCCCTCCTCTGTCGCGCTGTAACCCCCCCGCCCCCATCCTCCCGCCCCACTCCCACATGTGCAGATGTTCTCGTCCGTTTATAATGTCTTTGAGTGTGCTTTGTGCTGAGAGGTTTTTTTCTAAATCCCACACTGCGCCCCCCCCCCCCGGGGCCTAGTTTGGGGTTGACTTTTTTCCCTCCTTCCCTATCGTTTTTCAGTTGTTTTTCATCTTGGTCACTGAGAGTGGACGCTGGCATGTACAGTATGTTGCTGCTGCTCTCCGGGCGTATGTGTTGTTTGTTCTGTTTTTTGTTTGTTTTATGTACAGTGTCCTTGGGCTCATTTTAATAGTTGGTCTTTTTTATCCTGGGGTAGTAGAAAGTCAAGGTTAATTTCGTCCAGCAGGGGGAGCTTGTCTGTGACCACTGCTGTCTGTCAGTCCGGTCCCATTCCTGATGTGAGATTCTGAGGCCGTCCTCTTCTTCACATCTGTCCTTAATATCCAGAGTTTGTCTGTATTGATGGAGAGACAGATGTTATTACAATGTCTATTATTGCATTTTGAATTCTATTTACTAATGAATCGTGCGTGATCTTTGAAGCTTCAGCCACTTGTTTCCTTTGCTCGGCCTCTCATGTCCGGATATGAACGTACAAGTCAAACCTGGTCTTTACTCTAAGGTGATTCTACAGTTGTGACGCTCTGGTGGGCCACGTAACGTGGCTTGACGGGCTGGAGCCGGCCCACAGGCCTTACATTTGACATGTATAATAGTACAGAAATCCTGTGACCTGAACAGAGACTTTTGAAGAAAATAAATGTTGAAGCTTCTGATGAGCTGATTGTCTCGACCGTTACTGTCTCTGTTGACCTGATGTGTCTGTGACAGTTGTTTCTCCTCATAAATCCAATATTAATAATATCCTTATTTAATGGAACATGTACAGCTTAGTAACCATCTGTGTGTCTACAAACAATACTATAATATACACTGTATTATATACTATACTGTAATACTGCAGTGTTAGATTAGCTACAACTACATAAACTGTTGGGTGTTTATTAAAGAATTATCAAAAGTCAGTCCCAGATCTGTGGCTCAGATCTACGTGTCCCTGACAAACAGCAGAGGATGTCAGTTCACCAAGTCTGCTTGGTTCGTCTGTTACGTCATTTTTTATTTCTAACATAAAAAGTGAAAACAAAGTGAGTCCATTTTGGAGCAACACACACACAGGTCTAACGCTGAAAATATAAAGCACATAACAATACAGTTAATGATAAATGTATCTAATCAAATGAATTAATGACGGAGCTCCTAACATGTGCACATACCATAAGGACAGCAGAGCCCGACCGTTGCTTTTTTTTTCTTACGTGATGTGTATTAAACTCTTTTGTATGTCAAGTGGAACCATATATTTAGAACTTTAAATCCATACATTAAGTTTTTTGCCCTGCGGGTATGCGCTCACAGAGGTGTGAATGGGTGTCGTGTACGCGCACCAAGATGCGCTCGGCTACAATGAAACAGTGCTTGTGATGTTATCAAAGTATATGGGGGAAGGGTGGCGTACCGCGGGGTCTCCTCCAGACAAAGGACTTTGTCGGAGTTTTCCTGATACCAATACTTATAACGTTGCAAGTTAACACTGAAATACTGACGGTGTACGAGAGTATAAGACCGACTAAGGAGGTTAGAAAAGATGATAGCGCATGCAACAGCCTAGCTATAAAAGCAGCACAGATTTCAACACAATTCAATAACACTCAATGTTTTCAATGTGCACAATTAAATTGTCCCTAAGTTTAAATAGCACTTAACAATACTACAGATTAACTAAGGTGCCCAACGTGGCAGCCTTACTGTAGTGACCGTCGGCTCGTATTTAAAGGTAGTGGAAAGTCCGCACTTCTTGGGTCCTCCAGAGTCGGGGACGTCCGTCTGGTTCCACTGTGTACAGAGAGTCCTCTTGGTCTGAAAATTCGCTTCGGGAGGAAAAGCCTCTGATTGACGATGTGCCGGTTCACACGATTACTTTTAGAAGGAATCCTGTCGCTTCTAAACCTTCCAATAACTGCTTTGGATCGCAGTCGTAACGTTACTTACGTAACTTAATTACCGGTGATAACTCAATTAAGAAAGAAAGACGCTACTAATGCGCTTATCATCGTGGGCAATGGTCTCTACAAGAGCGCGTTGGTTCTTCTTCTTATGAGACCAGCAGGTTTCTCTTTTCATCAGGGGTCCCACGCAGATCTTGAATAGAGAGACTGAAATCGGGGCTGATCCCCCAATTTAAAGGTTGCGGAGGTTACTGATCGTGATGTTTGTGAGTTTCCTGGAAGCAGTGGAATTATGAGAGTTAGAGTCCTTAATGGGACTGTGGTAACACCTACAGATTCTTACAAATCATTATGCTAATATCGGGTCAATAATATCAAGCGACCTAAATTATCTGACATCCCTAGTTTTAAACTTTGTTCTTTTTGATGTTTTGTCACTGAAGGTGGACAGCCCCACAGACTACTAGGCACTTAGCCACGTAAGAGTTGCCAATGTAACGTTGGGCACATTATGCTAATACCAGGCGAAAATATCAGTTGGCCGATATTATCGGATATCCCTATTTATAAGGCTTGTAAAAACAAGCGTTACTTATGGAGTTAAGTAAACAAATAGATTATATGCACCCCCTACTAAAAAAATCATGCAATAACGTTTTTTTAAGTTTCTGCATTTTTTTTGTCTGCATCAGGAAAATAGGTTGCAGTAAGGCGGTACACCGAGACCATTCTGAGATCTTAGCTGAAGAAGGCAGAGGAAATGTTTACTCCTGTCCACCATCTTGTGTCTTTTCACATTAAAATTCAGATTTTTCTGAGATTTTAAGTGACAAGACTCCCATGTGTTTGTACTGAACAACTGAACTCCATAATAATTTTCGAGTATTTGGACTGCGATACCTCCAAACAATAGGCGATTAGTTTGGTTTGTTATTTTTCAAACAAGAGGGTGGACCTTGTTCATTCAATAACAGCATTGCCCTGACAGATGTACACAGATTTTTTTTACACTGATTTCATCTATAATCTGATGTATGGTTGACTGCAGTGAAACATGATGAAAGTCTTCATGAAATCAGGCTCATGCAAAATGGAATACTGTATTTAAAATAAATTGCGATCCTCTGAGACTCGTTATTAATCAGGGTGTGCGTCTTAACTAATTCTTCAAACGTAAACCTGAGAAGAACCTCGTTTAAACAGAGCCACAAAGTCTGAACAGCATCTCAGGTGTGCTACAGTAGGAGGCGCCAGAGACATTCAACGCAAGTTACACTGTTTACATTTATATATTTGGACACAAAACCCTTGATGTGTGGTGCTTTGGCCCAGAGGCAATGTCTCTGTCATTGATGTGGAACCCCAGGGTTCACCTCCTGGGCAAGATCGAAGCCCGGTCAGGGCGGTTGGTACCTTCCAGTGGACTCACCACCACAGGAAGGTTCAAGGGGAGTTGGTACGGTGCAGTGTGATTTAGGTGGAGGTCATGGAGACTGCTGCCCCGTGACCCAATAACGGATAAGTGGATGAAAATAGATGGGTGGATTTAGTGATGTTTATCATATTTATTTACATTTGTGTTTGTTCTGTATCTACATGTGTTTTATATCATATCTTGACCCTTAATTACAAATGACTGTCTATAAAGTACATTCTACTAATCACACGTACTGTTGTAGTAATGGGTTACTTTAACCTCATTTAACACACACACACACACACACACACACACACAGCAGGCAGGTTCCATTCATCGTAAAGTTGAAGGTGAAAATATCTGTCACAACTGATTAAGTGCTGGATCTGGTTCACCTGGTCCTGTGCGCTCTTTGTCTAATTAGTGTCACTCGTCCCACCTGGTCTGACACCTGGTTGTCCCTCACACCTGCCTGTGTCTGTTACTAGTGTGATGTTCCATGTTTAACCATGGAATCTTCTGGAAGGTGAGTTTTTATTTTATTTATGTATGTTTTTTTTTGTTCCTCAGCTGAAATCACATGAACAGTTATACTTATATACTTGTATACTTGTATACTTATATACTTATATACTTATATACTTATATACTTATATACTTATATACTTATATACTTATATACTTATATACTTATATACTTATATACTTATATACTTATATACTTATATACTTATATACTTATATACTTATATACTTATATACTTATATACTTATATACTTATATACTTATATACTTATATACTTATATACTTATATACTGTGTCTAATTAGGGACATGCACTCCACAGTTTTGTCCTAGCTTTGAACTACAGACAACAAAAAGGTATGCTGTTCTTTATCTAGATATCTGTGTAGTCGGAAGTCTGCCTCAGGGACAAACTCTAAAGAACACGTGTTTGAAGGCGGCGAGGTCGACACAGCATCAGAAAATGAAACGATGGTGTGAACACAGCGTTAGACGGAGACCTGGGAATTTAAATTCAAATAATAGTCTGAATGTTCCAGAAAGACAAAATGAAGACTGTGACAAACGTTGACAGCCTGAGGTCTGAAAAAGATTAAATCAACTTAACTCACAAATTATAATATAAACATCATAACCGGGTTCTTAAAAAAAAACAAAAAACATTTCCCTAAAACGTATTATTTTTTTGCAGGTCAATTATTTTTTTTCAATTAATTTTTGTAAACATTGTTTTAAAGTCAAATAGACATTTATTACAAAATAGGTATAACAATAAGTATAAAGTCAACAGTATTTAATAACAAATGTAGTTCTGATAGTTGGTTATATATATATTTGGTTTTTAATGTTCAATTAAAGTGTAAACTGAACGTAATACACGTCTTGACATAATAAACTGGTCTTGATCTGTGAAATGTAATGCATTACTGCCCTCTTGTGTCAGTTCGTGGAATGAGCTGATTATTTTGTCCGTTCGAATGAAAAAAACAACAAAACTTCACGTTTACATACATTCACGTAAAAACAGATTATTTTAATCTCCTTGTATGTATGTATATACTGTATATACGTACATAAATATATACATATGTATATATGTATATGTATATGTGTATATATATATATATATATAAGGGAAGCACAAAACAATCTCTTTGGGAAGTTATCCACTGGATAAGGAATTAAGATTTTTTTTATTGTTGTTGTTGGGTCGGTTGTAGCTGCTGTAGACCAGTCATGCCCCCTACAGGTGGAGTTTTTTTAATGATAGACATTTTACAATTAATCCACTTTTAAATGGAATGAATTTGGGAACCACAAAAATTAACGACTAAATGTTGTAATTTGCACATGTTGTAATTCTGAATAAAATAATGTTTTACTAATGTTCTATCAATCTGTCCCTAATGTATAGTATCATATACTGTAGTTGTTCTTTAATAGTATCAGCCATTTCACCAAATGCTCAGAGTGTAACTGGTTTACTGAGTTATTACCAGAAATTAATTAAATGCTGTAGAACAAAGAATACCAGAAATGTCTCAAAAAGGTTCACTTTATTGTACTAAAAAACACATCACCATTAGGGGGCAGGGTTGTGAGCCCCAGTGAAGACCAGTAAAAACCCCTGGAGAAAAGTCTGGTTCTCCTTCAAAGATATGTGAAAAATATCTCCAGAGGTGTGATGATGACGTTTGAGTCTTAATTAAAAACAATTTCCAACATTTAAGTCACTGAGGCATCATGGGATCAGACCCCGTGTGTCATGTGTAGCATGTAGCTAACTTTTGTTCCTAGGACAGGAGACACACACAACAACACTAACCCAGGTACCAGTGGTCAGTGTGGTCCAATGACCCAGGTACCAGTGGTCAGTGTGGTCCATGCTGGTCAGGTCCCGTCCACACTCACTCTGAACAGATCTTTAATCCACAAATGCTATATCAATGTTTAAGACGAGAAGTTAAAGTAAAAAAAAAAACAAATCAAAGTCACAGTTCTGTAACATTTTGATGACGATTGAAAAGTACACAGTATAACAATATCACAGCAGCATTTAGAACATGTACGTAGAACCTAGAACCAGGACAAGGTGATGTGACACAGTAATACAATTATTTCTAATTATTTTGGCTTTAAGTTAAATAAAAACATAATCAGATTAAAATTAACCAGATTTTAAAATAAACCTTTTTTTAAATTAAAAAATATAGTTTTGGTTTTGGTTTGTAAAAAGTTGGCCGCGGCTCTAAGACTTGGACGTGGGTTGGTGTGGTTCTCAGGCTGACTTCTTACACACATGGATGAAGTAGCAGGGATCGTTGCTCTGACCTCTGACGTAGGTCTGGAAGTCTCCGTAGACGCTGTGCTCCATTCTGCCATCAAAGGCTTCCTTCAGCATGTCCTTGAAGCTCTCCAGCCGGTGTGGGTAGTAGGACAGACGGAATTTACTAGACCAAACAGAGTAGGACAGACACAGTCATCACAGACAGACCCCCCCCCCCCCCCCACCCAGACCCTAACCCATGTGATAGAATGTCTAATCAGCCAGTGTGGGCCTACCTGACTTCAGGAAGCTCCTGTGGACCAGACTGTGGGACTTGAATGGTGTAGTCCAGAGTGATCATGTGGGGTTTGTTGTTGACCCACAACACTGAGGTGGTGATGTCCTGAGTCAGATCACTCTGGAACAAAAGACGAAGAGCTTCTCTGTGACTTCATGTCAATCTTTTGATGTTCAATAACTATTTCACATATTTTTCTTTTCTGCCAAGAACCAGGTCAGTTATTATACTTTCAAATGTCACTGGTAAAAGAAAGTCCAGCTTCACCAGATGAGTCACATACAGTAGTGGCTGCGATTTACTATTGGCGTGGTGCACAAATGTTACACTCCTTTATACTCCTGCTGTATGTGCTTAGTACTTATTCATGTGAAGTACCTTGTAGTAAATGTTTTTTCCTTGTGGTGCCCGTCCTGTCTCCAAGATGTAGTCGTAGTTACGATGGTCGATAATGAGAATTCCACCTGGTCGAACCATGCTGGCAATGTTGTGAAGGGCAAGCTTTTGGTCACTCTGGTCCCCTGTCGGTACCATCGGTACCATCAGATACAAATCCAACAACACATTCATGTTGAGCTGCCACATCATGACAGAAACAGAGGTGAGAAAGTTTCAGTTCTTTGAACATTTATTTCCAGGTTTTCTAAGATGTTTGAAAAACATCCATGAGGAACTTGAAATTTTGTAATGTTGACAAACATTTAGCATAACGGAGCTCGTACAGATGTTCAGAAATGTTCTCACTCTCGTCGTGACATTTTTTTAGAATACCTTTCTAAATAATAAATGCCAAAAACTCTACCTTTAAAGTCTGGTAAATGGGCAAACGAGTTGCCGAGGCAGATAACAGCATCAAAGCCTTCCCCTGGCTTCTGGATGTCCTCTGATAATGTCAGCCAGTTGGCCTCATCAATGACTGTAGGCCAGAAGAACAAAAACATCAGGATGTCGTCCGGAATAAAGAGACAAAATGTTGAAAGATAAAAGACATCGTACCCCACTGATCAAAGGCTGGTTCTTTCCTCCTCTCCCATCTTGACTTCAGTGCATACTTGAGCATTTTATCACTGGCATCAACACTTACCATCTTAAATCCTTCCTCCACCAGCATTATGGAGTCCACGCTGAAAAACATACAAACAACGATTGGAGCCAGGGCTGTGTTTGTTCACAGACATTGACCTAGAAACCACACACACACACACACACACCTAAAAATAGCGGTGCTGTCTGCCTATTACATCACCAAAGATGGTGCTGTTCCTCAGTCTTACTACTACTATGGTATGTCGGTCACAGTCGCTGCACTGACCTCTAAGCAAGACCATGAAGTTCAAAGGTCAGGGTGTCAGACTATTCAACAGTCAATGATTTGCTACTGAAAATGGAGATAGACACATGAAAGGACATGGTCAAAGTATAACGTTTTAAAGTATAAAGTCAATCATAACTTTTAAGAATAATTTTGGTATTTTACATTTGTGGGTTGATCTGATCATTATTCTGATTGTTCAGAGGTTGATCTGGTTGTTATTCTGATTGTTTGGAGGTTGTTGTTCTGTTTGTTCAGAGGTTGATCTGGTTGTTGGAGGTTGTTGTTGTCTGCACACTGGTTCTCATTAAAGTGCAGCACAGCAGTGGCCTCTGCTGCCCAGACTCCTGATACCATATCAGTACCAGGAGTAAACAGAGCGGAGACCAGTCTAAACCGACTACATCAGGTCAGCTCCAGCTGAACAGAAACTCAACTCCACCTCCGCTCTACTGATCTGTTATTATAGGATGGAAGTAACAAATGGATATAATATCTGTGAACACAGACGCAATGACCTCCGGTGCTGCTAACAGCCTGCTGCAATTCTCCTGCTGCAATTCTGCAACGTTGCATCATTATTGTTGTAGCCCTAACCTGACCTCACACGCAATGACCTCCGGTGCTGCTAACAGGAAGTGATGAGGTACCTGCTGCAATTCTGCAACGTTGCATCATTATTGTTGTAGCCCTAACCTGACCTCAGTTCAGTAAAGAACCTCACCAACATGTTGAGCAGATGTGAGAACACATCGATAAAGTGACGTGTGAACTGATGCATTTGGACCGTTAACAAATGTGGAAACCACCGCTGTGACCATGGTCAGAGTTAGGTTGGTACCTGCCGTCATCGGAACTACTTTTGTGAGATTTTGTTTTTTAACATAATTGTTTCTGTGGCGCAGCCGGTGATGGTTACATTACTGACTCTGGTCAGTACATTTGCAGCAAATTAAGCGACCCCCCACCCCAAAAAAAAGAAACCGATATAATTCCAGCGTTAAGAACCATGTTGTATTACGTGTATTACGACTATGATATACGTACGTCGATACTCGCTGGTGCACAATGACAAATGTTAGATGGATTTTAATTTAACTAAGGTTTGGTACCAAGTAGGAAGTCACACAGAAAACGTGCCAGTGTAAAAATGCTGAGTCGCCCTCACGTTACCCCGTTCCGCAGGCGACGTCCAGTACTCGCTGCACCCCGTGCTCCTTCAGCAGGGACACGACCCAGCTCCGGTACTCCTCCGTCCTGCTCTTCGTGTCACCGATGTACAGCTGCCACACTTTGGCTGCTTTACCGTCGGCATATTGATCAGGAAGACCAACGGCAGCCACGCCGAGGGAGCGGGTCCTGAACACACTGTCGACCGACATGTCGCTGCTGTGAATCACACTCTGTGCTAACGGGGCTAATACTGCACAAACATACAGTCCTACCGCGAGGTTATTGTTTATATGAGTGAGGGAGAGAGGAAACTTTGACCCAATGACAGAGTGAGTGTACAAACGCCCACTTTCTGATTGGACGAAACGAGGCCAGGAATAATACTGGACGATTAAAGCGCAGAAAACCCCTGCTCTAATATATATATATATATAATTGAGATATATTTCTATATCGATGCCGTGAGTCTGTCGTTCAACTTCATTAAAATCTAACTACAATAATCTTCTGTCATGAACAACTCTGATCTTCTCTCATTGTAAGGCAACAAAAAAGTATTTTTTTAAATCAATTAACTAGACAGGAATAAAACATATATTTTCATAAACTGAACACGCAGTGAACTCCTCCTGCTGTGATTGGCTGACAGAGTTGACCGATGAACGGCTGTTCTCTGCTGTGAAGTCTGTCTCAGCCGGTGTCAACCAGGTTTAGTTCGAACCATCCAGTATTATTAACCCTTCACTCACCTGTCAGGTCAAGGATAACTTGTCGTGTAATGTACATGCTTATAATGACACCTAGTGGTGAATTCAGAGTCTGCGTGATTTGAATTGAGTTGTGAAAACTTTAAGTTTGTTTGTTTGGTTTATAACGAACTTGCATCAGATTTGTGTTGTTGTGTAGTTGTTGTGTAGTTTGTGTTTTTATATCCTGGTTGGGTATTTTCAGTCTATGCTGTGTTTAAATATATTTTAAAGTGTAGAAGTTCAGGTGTTGACACATAATTGATCTTCTAAGAACAAAAAGGTGAAAGTTCAAGTTGAGGTCCTCTTGATAACCTTGATCTTTGAGACTATTAAAAACATGTTTTATATTTTACAGAGCGTTTTTGTTTCAGTGTTTTGACATCTGGGTACTTTAAGTGTTATGTACTTCTGAAGTATCTGTTTGACCACAGCATTAATCTGAGGAATCTCACTATCGTCATCTGATTGTCCACGGTTGTTGTACAGTATGAGTGACAACAGTGTGTGGTTTCTGCTCTGGACTTGATTTTTTGTGAATTGCCACTTTGTTAAAGGGTAAAACAGAGGGTTTTCAGATGACTGTCCTGGGGAGGGTCTGTCCCTTTGGTTCAGTTTAGGGTTAGGGTTAAAAAAAACAAACACTTGTCTGCCTGAGTATAGTGAGGGTTATCGGTAAAATTCCCATCTACTTTTATCAACTGTTTCCATGGTCAAAATAATAATGTGTATTTTTTTTAGCACGCATTAAATCAGGAGTGTTGAACGTGGTGAAATAGTCAACTACACACTCAAAGATTCTACTGTTACTGTTGTGCATTCGTTTTCTTTTTGATTATTACTTTGTTATGGACATCTGTATCAAACAAGTAGCTCTTTGT